TCCCCAAGTCCCACTGGGCCTGCTCACCTTACAAACCCTCTCAGACATGAAGCCCAACCAGCTCCACCCAGAATACAACCACACTCGCACCAGGCCCAGGGCCAGAGGAGCATCCCTGGGGGCCATCTGATGGAGATAGAAACTGACCTGCGTCAACTGGGGGCAGATCAACAGAAGCGTGAGTGGTCGGGAGGAAAGAGAAAGGCACGGCCCATCCTTCCTCCACTGGAATTAATACAAGGAGACACCACTGGGTGAAGCATGACCAACCCCTTACCCATCCATCATTGCAAGAAATGTCCTGTGGTTACTTAGCACAATTAGTAGCAAGAGGAAGGGAGATATGGGGATGTTCTTGTTCTGGTATCGATTTTCACGTAAACATCTCAAGAGCTATTTGGACAACAGGAAGCAGCATTTACTGAAATTATTTTTCTCAAGGTTTACTTTATGCCTGGGGCACCCAGTCATGTCATTCCCATCACTACTAAGACTCACCTCACCAGGAATGTGGTTCGTTCTAGTCATTGACCGACAAGTAGGGAAGATGCGTGTCAAGCTCCCCCTCGCTCACTCTTTTGAGTGGCAAGACCATGACTCCTGGTGTACTTTGTCGGAGGCCATTACATAAGCAATATTAAGGGTTTCACCATTAGATGGACTAGTTTTTATGAATAAAGGTGGTCGTTAAAGGGAACCCTTGCTAAGATGAAGGCAGGAGACCAGCAGTAGGTGCTCTCCTGTCTAACCCCTGGTCAGCTGTACACACAACAGGAAAAGAGCTGCAAGTGGACACAGCTTCACTGCCCCTGCCACAGTGAGAAACCTTTACTCCACCCAGCAACAGGCCAGCCAATGAGACAGTCACAGCTCAACCAATGAGAGACAGTCACAGTTCAGCCAATGAGGCGGTCACAGCTCTAACAACGAGAAGCCACCATCTTCAAAAGACCAGTTTCCCCAAATTGACTTTTTCTTGACAATAACCCCTCCCAACTGTCTCCTTTCCTGCAGAAGAGTGGCCTCTCTTTTGCTCTCTGGATTTGCCCCTGGATTTGCCATTTCTTGCATGTCCTCATTTGCAATTCTTGTTATTCTGTATAAACCCATTTTTTGCTGGTGAAATAACCAACAGTTAAGGTTTACTTACTTGGTGTCATAAACTGTGCGTGTTGGAAGAGTGTTGGCCTTTGGCCCAACTAATGTGTGGAATCAGACTGTTCTGCCTGGAACTGTGCTGGCCTTTTGACCAAGTTCTTTTGGGAACAGCCTGTTCCTATTGAAGCAGTGGTTTTTAGGTATTTCTTTTTTTGTTCTAAAGAGAAACCCAAGAAATGGGATCCCAGTCATAACAATGCTTTGAGGGCACCCCTCTGGTTTTATGTTTAAAAAGTACAGTCTCTCCTCATGCAGGTTTCTAATTAAATGGACTAACTTCATCAGAAGTAACTTAGATCATCAATGGTCATTACTGGAGACTTCCGATCTCCCCAAACTGACTCTTATCAAAACAAAATTGGACAGCCATGGCTCTAAAATTGTCAAAAGCAGATGGGATGCCTATTTTAATGGGTATTTTGAAGTTTCCAAACATTATCAGGATCTAAAGTTGCTCTCTGCAAAAATCAATTAACAGAAGTAAACAAACCATTGAAAGCTGTCAAAATGGCTTCTGAGCCACTTTCCCCTCCCTCATCTTCTTTGTCTCCAGACAGGTGGCAGCCACATGATGTGCAGACCAGACCTCCAGTGCCCTCTCTTTCCTCCCTCTGCTTTGTCCCCTCCTCCTGTGTAACCCCCACACTCTTCCGAATCCTCCCACTAAAGTTCCCTTTTTCTGTTTCCCACCCCAGTCCTTCCTCTCCTGAACCTATCAAAATGGACCCCAAATGGGGATCTTAATAAAACCCAATTTCTTACCTTGCCTGGACTAAGGCTGAACTGCAAGCCAGACTTTCCCCAAGTGATGAAGGATCCCCATAGGTGTGCTGAAGAATTTAAGTTATTCAAACTTACCAACCTGGTTTCTCAGATTTATACCAATTAGCTCACGTGCTTGTTGGTGAGGGCCAGACACACACTGGATGAAGCTGGCCCAACAGGAACATTAAAGAAAGTATTAGGGAAACAGAAACCCATGTTTCTGCAGGGATGCTATAACACTCACTGGAAATACTGAGCAATTGTAGGATCTTTCCTTAAGCCTGTTGAGTGGAACAAAATTCAGACTTGCATGCAAAAACCTGATGGATCCTTTCATGATGATCATAATGGACTCCATATTGTCCTTAAAGAAAATTCTGGGGGGGCATGGGTGGCTTAGTCAGCTAAGTGTCTGTGTTTGGCTCAGGTCATGAACCCAGTGTCCTGGGATTGAGTCCCTTATCAGTCACCCTGCTCAGTGGGGAGCCTGCTTCTCCCTCTCCCTCTGCCTGTCCCCCCCCCCCCGAATTGTGCTCCCTCTCAATAAAAAAAATCCTAAAAAAAAAAAAATTCTCGGTGAACTTTAGGTACTGAATGCACTTAACTCTATTTATGGGCAGAACTGAGCTCTTTCTCTTTTAGGCAAAAGGAACCAGGATGTATGGGAATCTATGTCCCCTCCAGATTTAGAAATTTGACAGACAAGCTCTTCACATCCTAGATGAGTCACCAACATGAAAGACCAACAAATTCCCGATTTTCACTTACGGCATATGAAAGCCCACTACACAACATTTTAAAACCCTGTACTTTCTGCTATTATTGCAAAGAGCCAGGATAGTGAAAAAAACCTGGTTACAAACAAGCACTCCAGGCAGCGGCATCCCTCCAGCTGACTGTTCCAATGTCCTCCTCACTCCCAATGACGGGGCTCCAGGGACCTCCAGGGGCTCATCCCAGTCCTCCCTCGTAAGCAGCTAATGGAACCACCTCCGCATTGGGAATGAGTCTCTGTCCTTGTTGACACCAAACCACACTCCTGGTGGCCAACTCCCTGATGGAAAGCAGCCCCTGCTCACAAGGACGAAAACAGCTCCAATAGCGGGGGCCTTAAATCTCCACAGGTTCCTGTCTCTCAGCCTATTCTTTTCCTCTAGGCTCTTGGAGAGATACTCACCTTCTCCTTAGTTACTTCTCCTTTATTCATGTGTGCACCTGACATTTCTTAGAAAAGTCTCATGCCAGAATTTGATTCCCTCAAACGGGCAAATAATTCCAGAATTTGGCAGCAGTAATCAAAATAATCAACCAGGGGAAGTAAACGACCCCATGGCCTCTTTTCTACACTCTTGTCTCTGATGGCACCACAGCAGAGCCTGGGAACACTGGTCGTTTGTTCCTATTGGATCAGCTACCTTGTTCTTTACGGGCAACATGTTCAACTGATATTGGCAGAATCCACATTGTACCTCATAAAGATAAAACTGTATTTTTCAAAATCTCTTGGCAGAATGAGACAATATAAATAAAGATGCCCTTCAGGGCATCAAGACCATAATAGAAGTTTAAAAGCCTCCGTGTCTCACGAGAGCCTCTGCTATGCCCTGTAACACCATTTCCCTCGTGAGAAAACCCAATGGCCGACAATGGACATCTGTCTAGGACCTCTCAGCAATAAATAACATTTTCATCCCTCCACACTCTGTTGTTCCTAACCCAATGGGCTGACATCCATTGCCATTGAGAGCAAATTTTCCACTCTAATTCATCTATGCAGTGCATTTTTAGTATTCCAGTTGGTAAGTGTAGCCAGTTTTTCCTTTCACTTGGAAGCACAGAAATACCCCTGGACAGTCATGCCCCAGAGACTCACAGATAATTTTCTTCCTTTTCACAAACCCCTAAAGTTGCTCTGGGTGACAGAGTTTTTTGCATTTCTACTTCGTTACAATATGGAGATAATTTCACTCTCTGCTTCCCTTCAGTGGAGGACACCATCTATCTGTTAAACTTTTGGCTTAAAGGGACAGAAAGTATCAAATTTTGCAGTTTGCTCAAACTCAAGATCAATAATTAGGGTATCTGATCTTAGAACCAGACATTTGGATGCAGGCAAAACCCCTCATGACTGCTTAATGCGGACACATCATGTTTTGACTTCCTATGGCATTTTACATGTCACTCCTCTAAACAATAAAGAGTTTTCATAGTTTACTGATTAGTCTTTTAAAAAGGATGAAAATAGTAAATAATAACTTGGGCATGCTATTCCAAATTCTCTTTACCATTTTATTTTATAATATATTTTTTTAAGTTATCTCTATACCCAGTGCGGGGCTCAAGACCAAGAGTTGCACGCTCTACCGACTGAGTCATCCAATCGCCCTGCAAATTCTTTTGAAGGTACTAAGGCAGCAATACATTTCCCTTCAACAGCCAACCCAATAGGATGACTTACACACTCTTACTTGGCCATATATGTTATCCAAGGGTAAAACTACAAACATTTAGTCCAATAGTTGGTATGCCTTTCGGGTACCTCAGGACTGTTATATTGTGGAAACAATGATGCATTTTTTACGTCCAATGTGGATAAAACTGAGGAGGCTCCTATGTCCAAAATTAACCAGATGCCAACTTTTAGCCAGGTGTTCTGGCTAATATTAAGGGTATTGGGCACTCCAGACATGATCTCCTGGGAGCTAGAGGAAAGCACCTCACTGGTATTTCTAGCACAATCACTGATCATGGAAATAAACAGGCAAACCTGAAACATAGTGCAAAGGGATGTTCTTCCAAGTCACAATTTGGAAGAAAGACCACAGACATCAAAAGTTAGTCCCAGATAAGATAAACCAATAAGAGAATTTTAACAATTGTTCATTCAATAAAAAGAGAGAACTGAAGTGAAAATGTATCTTTCTTTTTTTATTTAAGATTTATTTATTTTAGAGGGGGGTGAGGCAGAGGGGGAGGAAGAGAGAATCTCAAGCAGACTCCAAGCTGAGCATGGAGCTGATGCAGGGCTTGATCTCACAACCCTGAGATCACAACCTGAGCTGAAACCGAAGAGTTGGATGCTTAACCAACTGCACCACCCAGGCACCCTGAAAATATATCTTTCAATAATAAAGACTGAAAAGAAGAGGTGATATAGAATCAGGAAACTCCAGTATCTGCAACAGACAACATAAAAGAACTTTCAACAGTACAAGTCTCGTGTCATGATCATACACTAGGAACATCTGGAATGTATAATTCAAGAAATCTTTTTCTAAAATTATATAAAGTTATATTATCCCCACTGCCCCAAACAGGCACATTCTTATCACCCCTGGGTCTAAGAGACATTGTAATGGAAAAGAGACATGTTTTACATAACCATGTGATTACTCCACGTCTGAGATAACAAAGTCTATGTTGTACAGATGCAGAGGACAAAGGACACTTACCACCATTAGTGTTCATATCAGCGACATGACCTAGGAGTAAGACACTTCACATCTCTATCAAGGAAGAGGCACTTGCAAAAACAAAACCATGTTTATAACAATGAAACAGTTTCTGTCCCGTCAAAATTTTCATGAACAATATATGAATTTCTATACTGGAAGTCTTCCCAAAATTGTGTCCATTCAGGTTCATCTCCAGTGTGCTGGCTCGCATTTTAAAAACGATTTTAAGGGAGAATAAATGTTTTCCCGCATCGTGTCTGTGCTCCCAGATTCATGAGGTACCTGAAGGCTTTTCCATGGTTCTTAAGTTCATAGGGTTTCACATCACTGTGCTTTCACATGTGTCCTTGAAGAGAAGAGGGGCAACAGAAGGCTTTCTCATAGTGCAGACATTCATATGGTTCTGCTCTAGTGAGTGTCATCACATGTACTTGCAGGTCTATGGGACACTGGAAGGTCTTACCAGAGTCCTGAGATTCAAAGGGATACTGTCCACTGCGCATCCTGACGTGTTCTTGAAGGGAGCAGTGACTAGTGAACGTCTCTCCCCAGTGTGTTTCTTCATATGCACTCGAAGGGATGAGGAAAACTTGTATGCTTTCCCACACTCTTTACATTCCACATGTCCACCCTGTGTGTGTGCTCTCACATGTACTAGGAGGGTGTAGCGACGAATGAAGGCTTTCCCACACTGCTGACGTTTATAGGGTCTCTCCCCAGTGTGCGTCCTCACGTGTTCTCGCAGGTCTGAGTTATACCTGAAGGTCTTCCCACATTGCTGACATTCATACGGTCTCTCCCCAGTGTGCGTTCTCACATGTCCTCGCAGATTTCCAAGATGTCTGAAGGTCTTCCCACATTGCTGACACTCATAGGGTCTTTCCCCAGTATGTGTCCTCATATGTATTCGCAGGTCTGTGCGATCCCGGAAGGCTCTGCCACACTCCTTACATTCATAGGGTTTCACTGTGCTGTGCATGGTCATGTGACTTTTAAAATGTTCACACTTCTGGAAAGTTTTTCCACACTCCACACATTCATAGGGCCTGTCCCCTGTGTGTGTTCTCACATGTACTAGAAGGGAATAGTGACCAGTGAAGGCTTTCCCACACTGCTGACATTTATAGGGTCTCTCCCCAGTGTGTGTCCTCATGTGTGCTCGCAGGCCTGAGTTATACTTGAAGGTCTTCCCACACTCCTGACATTCATAGGGTCTCTCCCCAGTGTGTGTTCTCACATGTTCTCGCAGATTTCCATGATCTGTGAAGGTCTTCTCACATTGCTGACATTCATAGGGTCTCTCCCCAGTGTGTGTCCTCACATGTACTAGAAGGTAGGCCTGACGAGTGAAGGCTTTCCCACACCGCCCACATCTAAAAGTTCCTTTCCCAGTTTGATTACTTGAGTAATCTTGAGAGTATGAGAGGCAAATGTAGGCTTTCCCATAGTCTGTACCATCACTGGGTTTCATTCCAGTGTGAGTTCTCACATGACGTGTAAGACAGGAGTGATACATAAAGGATTTCCCACACACATCACATGCATGGACTCTCTGTCCACAGTGACCTCGCACATGACCCCGAAAGGATGAGGTGCAAGTGAAAGCTTTTCCACATTTCTTGCACTCTAAAGATTTTTTACTACCGAGACTCTTCAATTCTCTCTTTGATCCTCTCCCAGTGTCCTGACATTCACAGGGTTTCCCTACAAGGTGTGCGTCAACATGAGGGCTAAAGCTCAAGACACACCTGCAGGCTGGCCCACATTCCTCACAGGGACTAGGTTTGTGTCCAGGATAAGATCTTCCTGGATTCTCAGGGAAAGAACTATCTGTGAAGGCTTCTCTATACTTAGTGCATTCATGGGATTTTTCTCCAGGAGGGCAATCCTCATGCACAGTAAAACTTGTAATCTGCCTTACGGTTTCTCCACATTGATTACCTTCATTGTTTTCACAGACACGCTCCACCAAATGACTTCTGTTCAAAATAGGAAGGCACACTGTTAGGGAATAATGATTATAACCAAACTCTTTATTAGTGACCTATTGATGTTTACTAATGCTTATTTAACTACATAATGGCCATTTTCAATGAATGGGCGTGTTTGTGGCGCTGTCTCCATGGTAACAAAATGAAACAAGTTTAATGCACTGGCTGAGGACTCAAATATAGTCATAACACTCTAGGTTTCTCAGATAATAGTTTTTCTCACCATTGTTTCCAACTGAACTGCTTTTCAGATGATCAGGATCTAGAATGCATTCATAAAAGCTTCATTGTGTGAAAATTCCGACCATACAATAGTTGAGGTAAGTTTTCAGCTACTCTCTAATTTCAAGTTAGTCTCGCAATCTGCCCTGATCCCCTTCTCCTGTAGGAGTGTCACTCACCTCAAATGCCCTTCCTGGGTTTGGGTCTGATCTCCACTGCTATGAAATTTCCGGTTTTCTCCAAAAACAGAACACGAATCATTTCTTGCAAATATGACTATTTTCTCTTCACTGGATAACTCATTCTGCAAAATATTCCACTGCATCCTCGATGTACTCCTTTTATCCTGACTGGGACAAACTGCAAAAATTGGTAGCATAATTTAATTTCTTGGGAATGATCTGATATTTGAAGATAGGAAAATAGACCATATGTTGATTTCGATTCATATACTCATCATAAAATGTAAATGAAGCTCATCAGAAAGAATGGACAAGTGATCAAAGAAAACTTCTGAGGACCCTAGTGATTTGGGACTTTGGCAATAAGAGGAAAGTGTATGTAGCGCAGCCCGTTTACTCAGAAATACTTCAAAATTGATGGAGACTAATGTGGAGATAAGTGTTATCAGAAAAGGAAAGTAGAAAGGACCTGGGCAAGATACACACATCCGCACCCTACCTCTATAAGAGGAATACAGAAAGGCTTGCAATGTGGGTGAGGATGAATGAACGGTCCGACCTGGAAGCCAGGTAAGTGACAAAATCACCCTTCTTCAACAAAACTGAGTCACGTTTCTAATGGACATGTCCACATGCTGTTCCCTTCTCCAGAACCTGGCCCAACTGAGGGTTGCTAGGATGTTCTGAAGGCACAGAGGCCCTTGGTGAAGCCTGCCTGGACTGCCCCAACTGCCACTCGGAGGTTGGATGGTGTGTGTGGCTGCTGCCCAGCCCAGCATGAGGGAGGATTTAGAGGGTGACAAGCAATCTGGAAGATGGATTCTTACTTTAGGGTTCAATTTCATTGATGACGGTGAGTGTAAGCTTTTCTTTTTCTTTCTTTTCTCCCTCCCTCCCTCCCTCTCTTTTTCTCTTTCTTTCTTTCGTGGAAGTATATTGACCTATAATATTAGTGTCAGGTGTACAACAGTGATTCAACAACTATATATATTACAAAATGCTCACCACACTAAGTGTAATTAACATGTCACTATAAAAAACTACTACAATATTACTGACCATATTCCCTCTGCTGTACTCTTCATTCCCGTGACTTGTTTAAGATTTACTTATTTATTATGTTGAGAGACAGCTAGAGAGTTTGGGAGGGGGAGGGCAGAGGGAGAGAATCTTCAAGCAGAATCTCCACTGAGTGCACAGCCTGATGAGGGGCTCAATCTTGTGACCCTGAGATCATGACCTGAGCTGAAATCAAGAGGCAGATGTTTAACCGACTGATCCACCTAGGCACCACCCCCATGACTTATTTAAAAAGTGTCACTCTGTACTGACTAATCCCCTTCATCTATTTCACCCATTCCTCCATCCCCTTCCTATCTCGTAAACACCAATCTGTTCTCTACTTTTAAGTCTGTTTCTATTTTCCTTTTATTGCTTGTTCACTTTGCTACTTAGATTATACATATAAATAAAATATGGTGTTTGTCTTTCTGTCTTATTTACTTGGAAGAATACCCTCTAGGTCCATTCATGTTGTCACAAATGGCAAGACTTTATCCTTTTTATATGGTTGAGTAACAGTCCCTTGTATGTGAATACCACATCTTTATTATCCATTCATCCGTCGATGGACACGTGGGTTGCTTCCATATGTTGAGTACTGTAACTAACGCCACAGTGAACGTGGTCGTGCACGTATCTTTTTGTGTTAGTTTTTTTTCTAAGGTGAACCACCCAGAAGTGGAATTAAGGACCATACGGTCCTTCTGTGTTTCCTGTTTTGTGCAAACTCCATACTGTTTCCCACACAGTGGCTGCACCAAAGTACCTTCTCACCAGCAAAAACGAGTTGCCTTTTCTCCACGTTCTCACCAACACTTGTTATTTCTTGTCTTTTTGATACCTATCTGGCTGCTTTGAGGTGATATCTCATTGTGGTTTTGATTTGCACTTCCTGATGATTATTGTTACTGAGCAGCTTTTCATGTGCCTGGTGGCCATCTGTATATCTTCTTTGGGAAAATGTCTGTTATGTTCCTCTACCCCATTTTATATTTTTCCTTTCGTTTCCCTGGCCTGAAGGGATAATTCCACAAAAATATAGCTAAGGCTGATGTCCATGAGTTTAATGCCTCTGTTCTGTCTTAAGAAGTATACGGTTTCAGGGGCGCCTGGGTGGCTCAGTCGTTAAGCATCTGCCTTCGGTTCGGGTCATGAGCCCAGGGTCCTGGGATCGAGCCCCGCATCGGGTTCCCTGCTCGGTGGGAAGCCTGCTTCTTCCTCTCCCACTCTGTCAAATAAATAAATAAATAAAATCTTAAAAAAAAAAAAAGAAGTATATGGTTTCAAGTCTTACACTTGGGTATGGAATCCACATAGAGTTTACTTTTGTGTAAGGTGTAATAAGGTGGTTTCATGCTTTTGCAAGTAGCTGTCTCGTTTTCCTAATACCAGTTACTGAAGAGAGAGTCTTTCCCCCATTGTATATACTCAACTCCTTTTTTTTTTGTAGATAATTTGACCATATAACCATGGGTTAAATCCTGGACTCTATTCTGTTCCCTTGGTTTATGTGTCTGTTTTTGTGCCAGTACCATACTGTTTCAATTTTTCAGTTTTGTAGTACAGTTTGAAATCTGGGGTTGTTACATCTTCAACTTGAATATGTTTTCTCAACACTGCTTTGTTTAGGTGCAATGTTTTCTGTTTCCATATAAATTTTAGAGGTTTTGTTTTTTTGCTAAAGTTCTTTGAAAAACACTATTTCTATTATATAGAATATGGATTGCATTGAATATATAGAGTGCTTTTCAAAGTCTGAGCATTTTTTAACAATATTAATACTTACAAGGCATGACAAAGGTTTATCTTTCCATTTACTATGCCATCTTCAATTTTCTTCATTAAATGTCTTATAGCTTTCAGAGCACAGGTCTTTCAACTTCTTTGGTTACATTTATTCACAGTATTTTATTGTTTTTTGAAAGAACTGAACATGGGACTGTTTTCCTAATTTCTCTTTCTGACATAGAAATGCAACAGAGGGGGATGCCTAGGTGGTTCAGTCAGTTAAGTGTCTGCCTTTGGGTCAGGTCATGATCCCAAGGTCCTGGGATCTAGTCTCACATTGGGCTCCTTGCTCAGTGGGGAGCCTTCTTCTCCCTCTGCTTGTGCTCTCTGACAAATAAATAAAAATATTTTTAAAAAAATGCAACAGAGGGTTGCCTGGGTAGCTCAGTCAGTTAAGCATCTGACTCCTCATCTCAGCTCAGTGTCATGAGTTCAAGCCCTCACGTTGGGCTCATGCTGGTCATGGAACCTACTGGGAGGGAGGGAGGGATGGAGGGAGGGAGGGAGGGAGGAAGGAAGGAAGGAAGGGAGCACCTGGGTGGCCCAGTCGTTAAGCATCTGCCTTCAGCTCAGGTCATGATCCCAGGGTCCTGGGATCGAGTCCTGCATTGGGCTCCCTGCTCGGCAGGAAGCCTACTTCTCCCTCTCCCACTCCCCCTGCTTGTGTTCCTATTCTTGCTATCTCTCTCTGTCAAATAAATAAATAAATTCTTTAAAAATAAAAAAAAGAAAGGGGGAGAGAGAGAGAAAGATGAAAGAAAGAAAGAAAAAGAAAGAAAGAAAGAAAGAAAGAAAGAAAGAAAGAAAGAAAGAAAGAAAGAAAGAAAGAAAGAAAGAGAAAGAAAGAAAGGCAACAGATTTTGGTATATTCATTTTGTGTTCTGCAACTTTTCTAAATTCATTTGTTAGTTCTAATAGTATTTGGTAAAGTCTTAAGGATTTATTTTATTATTATTTTTTTAGGGAGGGAGGAAGGGAGAGGGATGAGGGATAGAGAGAGAAAGAGAGAGGGATGGGGAGGGTTAGAGAGAATCTTAAGCAGACTCCATGCCCAGTGCAGAGCCAGATGTGGGGCACAATCTCACAACTCTGAGATCACGACCTGAGCCAAGTTTTAAAACATGGGCTTCTTATCCCCTCAACTTCACCCTACAACATTCCCATCCTAGCAGTTAAAAAAAAAGGAAACAGCTACCACCTAGTCCAAGACTTGTGAGCCATTAATGAGGCTGTTGCATCCCTACACCCAACCATGCCAAATCCATATGTCATCCTGGGTACCATTCCTCCAAACAGCCTCTGGGTTTATGGTCCTGGACCTTAAAGATGCTTTCTTTTGCATCTCATTGGCTCAAGAATCCCAATTTGTTTGCATCCGAATGGGCCACCCCTTTTGGGCCCACCCAACAACTTACCTAGACAATACTCCCACAGGGATTCAGGGACAGCCCCCCCCCCCATCTGTTTGGCCAAGCCATCTCTAAGGATTCACAAAACTAACAACTTGAGAGGGGAACTACCCTTCAATATGTGGACAATTTGCTCATTTGCTCCCCCGCTCAAGTATTGGCCATTCCTCAAAATTGTCAATGGAAACTAATTAAAGTCCTTCATAACTCTATTTATTTAGGACAAGATGCCTTACAAACTGTCATTTCCAGAATGTTTCAAGGTAAAGGACTTTCCCAGGTGGTTCAACAAATAACCTCCTCTTGCCTTGCACATATGCCAACCCAGGGTGTCCATCAACCTCAATTAATCCAACCAATATAGAGGTATGGATCCTACCCTGGAGAAGACTGGCAGATGGATTTTTACTCAGATGCCACCCTGCAGAGGATACAAATACCTCCTCTCATGCTTCTTGACACCTTCAGAGGGTGGATAGAGGCATACCCGACATGGACTGAAAGGGCAATTGAGTAGTCAACAAACTTCTGCATGAAATTATCCCCCAATCTGGCCTCTCAGAGTCACTTCAGAGTGACAATGGACTCTTCTATTGTGGCCACCATAGTTCAATCTGTCTCCAAAGTACTAGGTATCAAATACCACCTTCATAGTGTTTGAAAGCCACAGTCCTCTGGGAAGGTGGAAAGGGCCAACCACTACCTAAAAGGTATTATTAAAAAACTCACACAAAAAAATCACTGAACTGGAAAGAAGCCTTGCCAATTTCCCTTCTCTGTAGTCATGTAGCTCCCAAGGAGGCCCTGGATTTGAGTCCTTTTGAAGTCCTCTATGAGCGATCCTT